CCCGGGCCCAGGGCCTGTGAGTCCGGGGAGGGCCCATACACACACCCCGCCTCCAGGGCGATAAGGCTGGGCTAGGAGGCCCGTCATCCGGGGGCTGCCTGCCCGCCTGTGCCTCGCGCTCCGACCCAGCCTGCTGCCGCTGCCACCGCCGCCGGGCCCCCAGAGCCCCATCCCCAGAACCTGTGAGTCCGGAAGGGAAGGGAAGGGGAGCCCTCCCCCTCGCACCCCCCAGGCGCTTACGGCTCCAAGAGCACCAGGCTTCGCCTACGTACCCATTCCTTCCCCCTCTCCGACCTTCACAGCTTGGGTTGGTGGAATCTCTACCTCTCTGTCTCTCTCAGCCCCAACCAGCTGTCCCAACCTCAGTGACCTCTGACCCCAGCTTTGGTCTCTGCTGAACTCAGCCCTCCGCCTCCACCTCCACCCCTGCTGGCCAGGGCAGCTGAGGGCACTGGCCCTTCCCCTGACCAGCCCCGCCCAGTTGTCTGGTCATCCCTCAAAGGAACAGGGTTTCGGCAAAGTGGGGGCCAGGACTCTGTCCCAGGGTGAGCCCCTGTTTCACCACCTTGACTTCAAAGGGCCTCTATTACCCTGTTGTTGGGACAAGGAAAGTGGGGTGGTTACCCGATGAAGCCGGGCCTCTTATTTTTCTCACCCCAAACCCTGGGACAGTCTCAGGTAGGCAAGAAGGAAATTGCTCTCCAAAATGTGCCTCGGACAGACGTCCGTCCGTCCTGTGGCTGACTTAAAACAGGGCCAACCCATTGCTTGTCCCAAACAGAGCCTCTCCCAACAGCTTCCACATCCTCCTTGGCATACCGGAAGCTTCTAGCTGAGGTCAGGTCCCTTTCGAGGCTACTCTGGATACCAGACCTATTTTAAGGGTTTGAAGGTTGGGGTGCTGTAAGGACCAGGGAACCTCCCAAGCCTTATGATTTCTCTGTGGGGCAAGCAGGGAGTTGGAGCAGGTGAGGGAGAGAGGTGAGGGCATGAACTAGTCCCCAGATCTCTTAATGCAGTGATTTTATCCCTGTGTTCCTCCTTGTTCCCAGAAGAACCTGGGGCCTGCCCTTCCTCACTTCAGGCAATGACGATTCTGCGATTAATCACGATAGCGCTGGTGACAGGTATGGTAAGGGATGGAGAAGGATGGGAGACTCCCTCTCAACTCTCTAGGATTCTCCTCAACTCTCTATGCCTGGGCATTGATGAAGCTGATGCTCAAAATGTAGTTCAACTCATTGGGCGTCTGAACAGAGAGAACCATAGTGAGGTTCTGAATCTGTCCTATGCTGTATTAGGTATTATCCCTTTAGATGCTAGAATGAGGGAAGGTCAAGGCAGGTCCTGGGGGAGAATCCGGGGCAGCTAGAGTATGACGGGCAGTGGGGGACTACATAGAGCTCAGGACAGTGGCTACTTAATTTCCATCACTTAATGCCTGGTCCATTGGTACAGTGCATTACAGCAGGGCCCTGGACTTGGGGTCCACATCACCTACCCTCTCTCTCCTTATCACCCTCATTTCTTGGAGTCCTTCTATCCTACCTCCTCCTCTCATGCCTGAGTCCCCTCTTTTACCCCTACCCCCTCCAGGGCATGTAGGGGGAGAGACCAGGATCATCAAGGGGTACGAATGCCCTCCTCATTCCCAGCCCTGGCAGGTGGCACTGTTTCAGAAGACCCGACTGCTCTGTGGGGCAACTCTCATCGCTCCCAAATGGCTCGTGACAGCAGCCCACTGCCGCAAGCCGTGGGTGCGGGGGCTGGGGCGGGGATGGGAGGGGGCTGGAAATGGGAAGATGGCTTTGGGGATGGAAGAGATGTGCATGAGCTGGGGGGGGGGGTGAGTCAGGATGAAAGATGGGGATGAGTAAGCATTAGCATTGATGGTGGGGATAGAGGTGGGATTGACGATGGAAGATGATGATGATGTTGGAACTGGAATAGGTTGGGGATTGGGTTGGATGGGAGCTTTGGAGGGAGATGGGAACGAGGTTGAAAGTGGAGCTACAGGCCTTCCTTCTCACAGGTGTCACTCATTACTCCTTCTGTGTCTCCCCCCTTCTCCCATCTCATGTTTCTCCCTACCTTTTCATCTCTGACTGTCATCTCTCCCACCTCAGCCAATACATAGTACACCTAGGGGAACACAACCTCCAGCATCAGGATGGCTGTGAGCAGACTCGAACAGCCACGGAGTCCTTCCCTCATCCAGAGTACAACAACAGCCTACCCAACAAAGACCACCGCAATGACATCATGCTGGTGAAAATGGCGGCACCTGCTGTCATCACCCGGGCTGTGCGACCCCTCGCTCTACCATCACACTGCGTCACCGCTGGCACTCGCTGCCTCATTTCTGGCTGGGGCACCACATCCAGCCCCCAGTGTAGGGGCTCCAAAGGGGAACATGGGTGGTGGTGGTCGTGATTGGGAAGATTCAGGGAGCTAGGGGAACCTTTAAGAATGAGAACCATAGGCTACCAGGGGTGTCATTGGTGGGATAAGTTGAAAGCAAGAGTGTTAAAGTCAGGGCTGGGGAGGGTGGAGATAAAAGTTTGGGCCTTGGGTTCAGACTGATATGATGTGCAAACCCAGCTCCGCATCTTGCGAGCTGTATGTAGAACCTTAGGCAAGCAGTTTCACCTCTTGAAGCCTTGATTTTCTTCCCTATAAAATGAGAATAATCACATCTCCCTCCCAGGGTTAGATCAGAGACAATGTAGATAGAGCTTCTAGCATAAAAAAAATACTCGATAGCATTATTATTGCTATTATTTACAAGCAGAGAGATGAGATGGCTGTAAGTAAGCAAGAAAGGGAATCTTCCCAGATCCTGGGTTCTGAGCAGCCACTACAGAGGGAAGGGAACCCACTGCCCACACTTTTATATGCTGCTTCCACAGTGCACCTGCCCCACACTTTGCGATGTGCCAACATCACCATCATTGAGCATTCGGAGTGTGAGGATGCCTATCCCGGCAACATCACAGACACTATGGTGTGTGCCAGCGTTCGAGAAGAGGGCAAAGACTCTTGCCAGGTCAGAGGGAAGAACCAGGGTCTCCAACCCCATTCCTATCTCCATCTCCAATCTCACTTAAATCTCTAGGTCCGTCCACAGTCTCATCCTCAACCAATCCACCTCTACCCCCAATTCCCTTGTCCAACCTCAATACAACCTTTACCCCAGCATCAACTCTATCCCTACCTCCACTGCCAACCCCAACCATCCCCAAACTCATTTTCAGCTCTAACCCCAGCCTCCTACCCAACCCTATTGCCAATCCCATTGCCAACTCAGTCTTCAATCTCAACCCCACCCCGGACACCGGCTCATCTGCTCCCTAACACCATGTTCAACCCTTTCTCTCTTCTCTGACTGGTCTTCTCTCTCCTCATCCCCAGGGTGACTCTGGAGGACCTCTGGTCTGTAATGGTTCTCTTCAAGGCATTATCTCTTGGGGCCAGGATCCATGTGCTGTGTCCAAAAAGCCTGGTGTCTACACAAAAGTCTGCAAATATGTGGACTGGATCCAGAAGACCATGAAAAGCAATTAGCCAGGACCTGTTTGCCAGTGGGTATGAAGCTGGAGTCAACTTACTGTTTAGAATCAGCAAGTCTTATCATATGCTTGGTGTATATATATCTGTGGATAGTATTTTTATTCACTGTTGTAAACACAGCCAAGGTACACAGCATTTAATAAAACTTGCTAAAAAAAAAAAGTATTGATTGCTTACATTTAATACCTTTATTAATGCCAGACCCTAGTCTAAAAGATTTTAAATGTATTAATTAATTTAACCCTCACAAAGCTCTGTAAAGGTCGGTACTCTGAGGCACAAATCATGAAGTTACTTGCCCATGGTTACTCAACTTATAAGGGGAAAAGAGACGATCTGAAGCTAATGATCTCTTAACTAATAAACAGTATTACCTTGATTAAAGCTTCGTTTGCTTGTTTGTAAAAGTGTGTGTGTATGCAATGGTATGATGTTGTTGTTGTTAAGTGCCGTCGAGTCAGTTCTGACCCATAGCGACCCTGTACAGGGTTTTCGAGGGTGTAAATCTTTACGGGAGTAGAAAGCCTCATCTTTCTCCTGTGGAGCGGCTGGTATGATAGTGCCTACATATAATAAAACCTAGCAAAAGAGCATTATTTTTTCCAACTTCTGAAATGAATAGTAGCTCATTATTAGGGTAGTTCCTGACCATATATGGCTAAACTAAATTTAAATAACATCAGAAACTCACCTCCTCACTTATAGTGACCACATTGCAAGTACTCACTAGTTACATGTGGCTGATAGCTACCATGTCCAATAGCAAGTTTAGAATATTTCCATCAGATATTTCTATGGGACAGCAGAAATTTGCTTTGGGTAAGCACACATTTCTGTTGAACAACACTGCACTATGCAAGTTTTGGAGTTGATTCTTGACAGAAAAAGATGTCTAACACCTAATCAAGAACTTGGGATTCTTCCCCCCACCTCCTTTATTCTCCTCACCTTGCAAAAGGAAAGGTAGCTGGCATGCAGAATGAGAGCCCATACTGAGGCTTGTTGGTTGTGAGGATGATTAACTGTGTGCCCCTTCTCTGGGCCTCCCATTTGTCACCTGAAATGAGGGCGTTGGCCCAGGTGATGTTGATGCCCTTTTTTTGGCCTCCTATGATTCATGTATGGTCTTGTGTGTCATCCAGACACACACAGGTAACAGGGAGAACACGAGATGGCCACTTGTAGGTGGAAAGTAGAGCCACTGTCCCTCATGGGGAATTATCCCTGAGACATACACTGAACCCAATTCTTTAGCTGGGATCCAGCTGTGGGTTTGGGTTCTTGCCAGAGACCAACCTGCTCCATACACTGGGTCTGTATCCTCTCTGCCTTCCTGTTTCCGTCCATCTCAGTCTTGCCTGGTCCTGGCTTGTCACAGTCTCCCTCTATTCCTGTGGTTTTCCTGTATCTCAGTCTGGGAGCCACTCTTTAGCTCTCCTCCTCGTTTCTTCCCACCTCTCTGCCTGTCCCTCAACAATTTGACTTTTCTTACTTGGCTACTTTAGGTATGCATTTCCCTGTTTATTTTCTTCTCTCCAGATCACCTGTCTCCGGTGCCATTTCCACCACCCCCAGTTCCCACAGGGCCTGTTAACTCTTTCCACATGGGAAGGTTTCTTGAGTAGGTTCAGACTCAGACACCCTGACTGTATAGGGTTGCCAAGGCTGTAAATCTTTGTGGAAGCAGAAAGCCTCCTCTTTTTCCCTCTGAGAAACAGGTGGGCTTCAGTGGTCCACCTGATGGTTTGAAGTTCAGTGCTCATCCTTACAGAGCCATAAACTCCTGGAAAGAGTTCTTAGTATAAAGGAATGGTGGAAATCCCACGGATTTGGCTGGAGAAGGGTGTTTCAGGCACAGCACAGGGAGAAGCCTGTATTCCTGAGTCCCTCCCAGGGCAGGAATCTGGGCCCAGGATGTGTGCCAGCCCCACCCAAGGTATAATTAGGGAGAGGGAAAGGGTGGAGGAGCCCCTAAGGGGTGGGTGGGGAAACTTCCGGGCTCTTTAGGGTTAAAAGGGAAGACCATGCCAGGGGTCCCTGGGCAGAGGATCGGAGGCAGTCCACACTGCAGGGAAGAGTATCCTCTGGGCCCCCTACTTTTTTCCCATCCGTGATTCCCAGGTGAGGTGGGAGGCACCCCACCCAGAGGTGGCACGTGAGACCTTACATGTGGACCCTCGAGCCACGGTCAGGGGTCCTCTCCCTGTCCCCAACCCAAGCTGGGCAGTTTAGGAAGAAGCTCCCACCGGCTCCGAGTCTCTTAAGCTTCCACTCACAATGCGAATGGAAACTAGTGTAGCCCGGGCTCAGAGCGCGCTCCCCTCGGGCACAGGGCGGACACGAGGACGCTACCAGGGGCGTCATTAGAGTAATTGCGCCCAAGACTGCTGATCTCCGGAACCACCTGTCCGTTCCCTCTTGCGGCGGTCGGTTAGACCAGAGGCCGCGTGGGTTAAACGCCACCGCCCCCGGTCCTCCGCCACCCCGTCCCCGGGCTGGGGTGGTTCAGGTTGGGAGGGCGGGCACCGCCGGCTAGAAGTCTAACTTGGACAACGCCCCCTTCCCACCTCCCACTCAGTTACTGGGCATGAGATCGCAGCACCTCCGCCGTCCCGTCGCCTCTGGCAAGTGGGCCTTGATGAAGCTGCTGCCGCTGCTGCTGGCGCAACTATGGGGTGAGGCGGGGGACAAGGGACGGTGAGAGGCTCCGGGGGCGGGGGCAGACTGGAGGGTGTGTGGGCTTATCACCTACCCCGCGCACCCCTCGTTCTCTCGGAGCTGCAAGATCTGGAGCAGGATTCGCCTCCCATATCAACAGAGGTTCCCCTTCCTCTAGCTGCGCCCCCTAGAGCTCTGTCTCCAATACGGCCTCGTCTCCTTTTCGTTCCACCTTTTGTTGTTGTTGTTAAGTGCCATCTAGTCGGTTCCGACTCATAGCGGCTAGTGAGTTTGAACCGCCGACCTAGAACCTCCCTTTTCGTCTCTTTGTGTTCTTTCTCCGCCCCTCTCTCCTTCCCCTTTCTCACCACAACGTTCGGTCTCGGTCCCTTTTAGCCCCTCTCAGGGAATTTATCCTACTTCTTGCCCTGTGTCTGCCTCCTTCTAGCTCCACTTGCTATCCCCAATTTTTCTCTTCCCTTCAGATTCCTCTTTTATCCTCTTCTGTCCTCTTCTTCATCTCCCCTAGTTCTCGTCCAGCTCGTCGCCACCTATTCTAGGCCGCCCCCTTTTCGCCCCACCACGTTCTGTCTCCGCCACTTGCCAACCTGCAACGTTCTGACCCCGCCCCCTTCTCACCACACCACGTTCTGTCTCCGCCCCTTGTCAACCTGCAGCGTTCTGACCCCGCCCCCTTTTCACCTCACCACATTCTGTCCCCGCCCTTTGCCAACTTGCAGCGTTCTGTCCCCGCCCCTTGCCACCCAGCAGCATTCTGTTCCCGCCCCCTCGTTGCCTTACCACGTTTTGTCTCTGCTTCTTTGTCACCAGGCAGCGTCTGTCCCCATCCTTAGGTTGCCTTGGCACGTTCTGTCCCCGCCCTCTTGTCCCCCAGCAATGTTCTGTTCCCGCCCCCTTGTTGCCTGGCCACGTTCTCTCTCCGCCCCTCCGTAGTCAGCTCCGCCCCATCCCAGCCTTTGGATTTCCATTGTTATTGTTAAACGCAGTTGAGTTGGTTCCGATTCATAGTGACCCCGTAAGGGAATTCCGAGGAGCGGCTGGTGAATTTGAACCGCTAACCTTGTGGTTCAAACCGACCTTGCGGTCCAGTGCTTTATCCTACAGACCCCCACATGCTCTCCTAGCTCTGATCGGACCCCACGTAATCCCACCCCAAAGCCAACCTCCGCCCTGCCCAGACTTTCCTGACTGCCACTTGTTTTCTCCAGCTGCGGAGGCGGGTCTGCTCCCCAGAAATCACACTGATACAGAGCCCGAGACCTTCAGCGCCCCGTGCGCGCGCGGCTCGCAGGCTTGGCAAGTTTCCCTCTTCAACGGCCTCGTATTCCACTGCGCGGGCGTCCTAGTGGATAGGAACTGGGTGCTCACGGCCGCGCACTGCCAGCTCAACAAGTAGGTGGAGCTACAGAGGGCTGCGGAGGAGGCAGACCCCCCCACCCCCGGGATGGGGACGGGAAGAACTGGGGCTTAGATGGGTATAGAACTCTCCCAGCAACAGGTGGTGTCAATCCTGGAGCGCTTGTGTGTTCTGACCACTAGGTGGCAGTGTGGTTCTTCAGTTTTCTGGATTTATCACCCACCTTTTTCTATTTGATACTCGTTGATTTCCATTTAGGTAGTTGTGTGAGTGGGAATTCACTTGATTTGAATTCACTCGATGGCAACAGCCCTGGTGGTGCAGTGGTTAAGCACCCTGCTGCCAACTGAAAGGGATGGTTGGAACCCACCAGCCACCGTTAGACAGAAAGATGTGACCGCTGGCTCTTGTAAAGACTGATGGTGGTTGTGTGCAGTTCAGTAGGTTCCGACTTACAGGATTTCCCAGGCTGTAAATCTTTAGGGGAGTAGAAAGCCTCATCTTTTTCCTGAGGAGTTGCTGGTGGACTCAAAACGGCTGACCTTGTGGTTGGAAATCCTATGGGGTAGTTCAGCTCTGTCGCATGGAGTTGCTATAAGTTGGAATTAACTCCACTCTACATAACAATAGTTATATGCAACCACCCGCCTGTCAGTGTGTTGCTCTGCGATGGCTTTCATGTTGCAGTGATGCTGGGAACTATATCACTAGACATTTCAAATACTAGCAGGGACACCCAGGGTGGACAGGTTTCAGAGGAGCCTCCAGACAATGACAAACTAGGAGGAAATGCCTGGCAATCTGAAAAGTAGTCAATGAAAACCCCGTGGAACACAATAGGATAGTGTCTGACAAGGTGCTAGAAGGCTGGGAGGTTGGGAGGCACTCAAATACACATGGCTGAATCAGAGGACAATGAGGGCACATCCAACATCCTAAAGCTGGTAATGTTTCCTTCTGTTGTGCATGGGATCGCCATGAGTAGGAGCAAACCCAGGTTAACTAATAAAAATGTTTTATACAACAGAGAGAAGTCAGTGTCTGATGATTTGGAATTCAGAATAAGAGGGAAATGTTCACTTCATGAGTCCCTAGGATGGAGAAAGGGTTGGATTGACTTGCAAGTCCCAACCTCCATTCCTCAATTCCTGCAGAAACCAGAAGCTGAGACATCTGATTTCTTCAGGTCCCAAGAGACTTGCAACCTTCCTTTCTCAGACCCAGAGTCCCTAGTCCTTCTCAGGCCTCCATTGTCTCTGTTCCAAGGGCTGAGTCTCAGTCCCTACTAAGGTTGCCTCCATGCGATTCTTCTCCTCACCAGGCCACTATGGGCTCGGATCGGAGATGACCACCTGCTACTTCTCCAGGGTGAGCAGCTCCGCCGGACCACTCGCTCCATTGTCCACCCCAAGTACCGACAGGGTTCAGGCCCTATCCTTCCTAGGCGCACGGATGAACATGACCTTATGATGCTGAAGCTGGCCAGGCCTGCTGTACCAGGTCCCCGCATACAGACTCTGCGTCTACCCTACCATTGTGTCCAGCCCGGAGATCAGTGCCAGGCTGCTGGCTGGGGTACCTCGGTCACCCGAAGAGGTAAGAGCTGGGGACCCTAAAATCTGTGTCTCTGACACCTAGGATTCAGAGAGAAGGGGGTTTAGACTTCCTGGGTCTGAGAGGGGAGAGGACTGGAGTCCTGGAGTCTTGAACCCAAGGGGATAGAAGCTTGGACTCGTGGGTCCTGGCTTGGGAAGTGTCTGGACTCTTGGGTCCGGAATGACTGGAGGCTAAGCCTAGGGACCACCTGGTTTCCTTCCCCATCAGTGAAGTACAACAAAGGCTTGAGCTGTTCCACCGTCAATATCCTGAGCCCTAAGGAGTGTAATGTCTTCTACCCTGGCGTGGTCACCAACAACATGATATGTGCTGGACTGGACCATGGCCAGGACCCATGCCAGGTAGGGACTTACCAAGATCCTTGAATCACAGATGGGAAAGTAGGGAGGTCATGGGAAAATAGAATATCCCACCCCTGTTCCCAGCCCCAATCTTATCTTCAACACTATCCACACCCTACCCCAACTCCAACCTCATTCCTAACTCTAGTTCTTGGAGTTCCATCACTGTATCCCAACCCCAATCCTAACTTCTTCCCTAACTCCGTCCCTATCTCCTCAACCCCATTTCCATCCACAACCCATTCCCAGCCCCATCCCTATCTCCAAATCCATCTGCATCTCCTAACCTACCAAGAATTTCTCCACAATCCCAACTCCACCTCATCTCCATCCTTATCCTCCAATCCAACCCCCATAGCTCCAAGTCCAATTCCATTCCACCCATCCCACCCACCAACCTCAAATTTATTTCCAAACCCAACCCAACTTCATGTTTAATCCAATCCAGCTACCTCAATCCCTTCCTTTCCGTGCCCCAGCCCACAAAATGATGACTCTCAAAGTAATGAATTAATTTGATCTCTCCTTCTTTCTACCTCCAGAGTGACTCTGGTGGTCCCCTGGTTTGTGATGAGACCCTGCAGGGCATCCTTTCCTGGGGAGTTTATCCCTGTGGCTCCGCCCAGCATCCAGCTGTCTTCACGCAGATCTGCAAATACGTCCCCTGGATAGAGAAAATCATACGTTCCAACTGATGGAGCTGCCTATTGGTCCTCCATTTTCCCTCCAATTCCTGCCCTTCCTTACCTACTAACCTGTCTCTTGTTCCTTTATTCTCTCTCTCCGGACTCTGCTCACACTGAACAGAAAAGTCATAGCAAAATTTTGTTCCAGAGACAGGAGGAAGCTGGTCCAATCTCTAGGAAAAATTACCAAACTTTAATGGTTATGTGAAGTCACCTAACTTGGTTTCCTCTACCATTGTCTTCATTGTTGTAATGTAGATGTAAATCATTATGGTAATTATATGTTTTTTAAAAAAGATTAACAAAGTGGGTGCTCAACTTTCAGCCAAACAATAGAAAGACCTATAAATGAACGTGATCCCCTCAGTCCTATCAACTATTCTAGACTAAAAGGGTAGCATTTGCCCCAAAACAAAAACTCAAAAGACAGGAAAGGGCAAGAAAGGACCCATGGAAACTGGAAACCCACAAAGTGGGAAGAGTGTTGTTGCATTGGGGGATTGTAGTCAATGTTACAAAACAAGATCTGTATAATCTGTTGATTGGAAATCCAATTTGCTCTGTAAACTTTATATGAAAGCTTAAAACCAGAGGCACTGATTTTGAAGTCTTGATGTGAATCTAGACTCCATGTTGATTTTTGAAAGCTCCCTTTTAAAATAGCAGTTCCTCTATCCTTAATGCTGATCTAACCAAGTTCATGGGGTGGGGGTGGGGGAATGGAATTGACAGACAGTGGAATTTTTCCATGAAGTTTTTGAAGTCCTCTTCATATCCTGAAGAAGCCATACCTTTTCTCTGAAGTCTGGCAGATGCAGAACATTACAGTCTTGTTTCCAGAGGATCTTCCTGCTATGAACAAACAGACACAAAAGGATCTTGATGTACCACATTATCAATACATCTATAAAATGGACCTCCAGAAACAGACATGATTGGTTAGAAGTGCCAGAAAAGTCTATTTTGCATCGGTTTAGTAATCATCCTGTAATAAACTGAATGAAGGACACATGCCAACCATTTAACTCCACTTATGTGGTATCCACCTACCCTGCCAAATCTCCATTTCTTGACACCCTCTAATTGTTTTCAGCCAAAGAGAATTCTGTAACTTTTCATTCCTGCTTGGTGGTGGTAGTTGTGTGCCGTTGAGTTGGTTCTGACTCCCAGTGACCCTGTATAGGATTTTTGGGACTGCACATCTTTACGGTAGCAGAAAGCCTCATCTTTCTCCTTTGGAGCAACTGGCAGCTTCAAACTGTTGACCTTGTGGTTCGTAGTCCAATGCATAACCCACTACACCACCAAGGTTCCTTTTAGTCCTTGCTTGTTCTGAACAAAAATGCCTTTTTTCTCACTGTCTGTTGGACTTATCATTTTCACTCTGTGAATTTATACGTCTTCCCATTTGTATCCCTCAATAAACCTGTTTGTCTTTACTTTAAATCAACTCTGTGATGTTGCTCTCCAACTTTCACCCAAACTACAGTTAGAAAACAAAAACAAAACACAAAATATAGTGAGTGGTTTTCTCTGAATCAGTGTTACTCATGGTCAAAATCTGAACACGTTCTACTGACTCTGTGTCCCAGAAGAATGTGGACAGGGTAGCCCCCAGTTCCAACCCCTCAACACTATCCATATGCCCTGGGCTATTGGAAGAATCACATTCCCTACCATCCTCCTGGTTACAATGAAACACCTCTTAATGTCTTAGTTCTTCCCTCCTACTGTTCCCCAAATCTGGGCCCACCCAATACCAGCCTCTCCTGTCCCAGCAGAGATGCAGAACCAGATCTGAGTCACCCGGGGCTTTTCTGACTTTATGGGACTGTTAGAACTAAGGAGATCTCACTCTGTATCCCAGATCCGAGGCTCCAAGATCAGAATGTTGAGCAAGTAGGTAAGGGCTTGGGCTACTTCCCCAGTAGATTACTAAATTCATGCAAAAACAAACACACACGTTGCCAAAGAGTCCGTTTCAACTTACGGTACCTCCTTGTGTTGCAGAGTAGAACTGTCCCGTAGAGTTTTCTTGGCTATACAAAGTACTTTGCTTGTTATGAATTGGCTTTGGAGCTTTTTTGTTTAAAACCTCAAGGGAATTATTTTTGTCTCCCTGAAATTGTCCCTGTGCAGTGATTTCTGTTTCTAACTATTTCTGTGCCAGGGTGGAGTGGGCTATATGTGTGTGTATGTCTTATTCGACTTGTACATAGAATTCAGTCAAAACTTTTCAATGCCCACATTTCAGCTTAACATGGTCTTTAGAGCAGTAACATGAATTGAACATAATGAACAACAGAATATTTCCATCAAGTCCAGGTTGCTTTTTCTCTCCTTTCAAAAACCAGTTTATTGAGCATCTATTATGTGCTAAAGGAGCTCTGGTAGCGTAGAATTGGGCCGCTAACCTCAGGGTCAGCAATTCGAAATGACAAGCTGTTCCTTGGGAGAAAGATGAGGCTTTCTGCTCTCATAAAGATTTATAGCCTCAGAAACTCTGTGCAGGGTCCCTATGAGTCAGAACTGACTCTACAGCACATAACAACAACATTATGTGCTAGGAATCCTGGTGTGGCACTGTAGGATAAGCACTGGACTGTTGGTTCAAACCCACTAGCTGTTCCTCAGAAACCCTATACATGGTCACTTATGAATCAGAATCAAGTCGACTGCACTTAACAACAATTACATGTTGGGAGTCCTGGTTGGTTCTGTTGGATAAGCACTGGACTGCTAACCACAAGGTTGGTGCTTCAAACCCACCAGCTGCCCCTTGGAAACTCTAAACAGAGTTATTATGAGCCGGAATCGACTCCACGGTACTTACCAATAACAATGAGAGTGATATGGTGGGGGACCCTGAGTAACACAGTTAAGTGCTTGGTTATTAACCCAAAGGTTGGAGGTTCAAGTCCATCTACGTGTGTCTTGAAGAACGGATTGAAAGATCCTAAAAAGCCCAGAGTCTAGTTCGCCATGTGTTGGAATCAACTCTATGCTGACTGATAATTCAAAGAGACTTCATTCAAAAGGCTCATGGAAAAAGGAAATTAGAAAATAACGGACTTTTCCCACAAACTTTCTGAAACCCCCTCGTATGTTAAATAACAAATTCCCCAAATCTACAAAATGTTGCCAATAGGCTCTTGGGAATTGGTATAACCCAGCAATCTGAAAGAACAGAAGTTTTTTTTTTGTTTTGTTTTTTAAAGGCTATGGAGTGTAATTCTTCTCTGAACCAATGGGGTGGGCAGGAATTGGAATCCATGCCATAGCGACCTTTTCCTTTTCCCCTCTCACTTTGCATTTTGTCTTCCTTTTTATTTATTTATTTTTTGATAAAACATTCCCAATGGTTTTGTCCTAATGAGAAAATAATATATATTGTTTCTCCTCAAGTACATAAAGAAAAAAAGAGACAGAGAAAGCCATTTCTTTTCTTCTTTAACTATCTCTCCTGTCACTTAAATTAGCACGTGTCTATCCTCCAATTGGTGAATAATTCTCCCTTCCCTCCCACAACTGGCCAGCATCATAGAAAATTTATTATAGAATGAAAATACTTTCTTGACTTTTTACAGTAGTGGTCTCATATAATATCTGCTCCTTTGTGATGGATTCATTTCACTCAACATAATGTTTTCCAGGTTCCTCCATGTCATGTAGGGTTTGTAGATTCATTGCTATTCTTCAGTGTTGTATGATATTCCATTATGTATATTTACCAAAGTTTGTTCAACAGTTCCTTTGTGGATGGGAGCACAGCAACTTTTTTTTTTTTTTTTTTTAATATGCTAAGTTCTGGGGTTTAAGTGATTGTATACTACAGAGACTGATGTACAGGAGCTGTTATATTATTGTTGTTAGGTGCCATCAAGTCGGTACCGACTCATAGCGACCTTATGCACAACATAACAAAGCACTGCCCGATCCTGGGCCAACCTCACTACTGTTGCCACGCTTGAGCCCATCGATGCTGCCACTTGGCCAATCCATCTCGTTGGGGGGTCTTCCTCTTTCACTCTGACCCTCCCATCTTACAAAACATGATATCTTTCTCCAGTGGCTGGTCCCTGCTGACAATATGTCCAAAGTATGAGAGATGAAGTCTGGCCATCTTGGCCTCCAAGGAGCACTCTGGCTGTACTTCTTCCAACACAGATCTGTTGGTTCTTTTGGCAACACATGGCACTTTCAATATTCTCCTCCAACACCATAGCTTAAAAGCATCAATTCTTCTATGGTCCAGCTTTCACATGCATATGAGGTTATTGAAAATACCATGGCTTGGGTCAGGAGCACCTTAGTCCTCAAGCTGACATCTTTGCTCTTCAACAACAGACTGGTGTATAGGAGATGTTATATAAGAGCTGGGATAAAGGAACTGATATACAGGAGCTGGGATGCAGGAACTGGGGTACAAAAACTGAGATGCAGAAGCCGGGATATAGAAGCTTGGATACAGAAGCTGTTATACAGAAGTTTGGATACAGGTGCTATGGTACAGGAGTTGGGATACAGAAGCTGTTATACAGGAGTGGGATATAGGAGCTGGAATGCAAGAGCTGTTACATAGGAGCTGGGATACAAGAGTTGAAATATAGCAGCTGGGATCCAGGAGCTGGGATCCAGGTGTTGGGATATAGGATCTGGGATACAAGAGGTAGAATACAGGAGACACTTAATGCATGAGTATCAGAACCGACCCACTGACTCTTCTATCACCCCTGGTTAGAAAAGCCAGGAAATGCCAATCAGGTATAGCAGCTGGATTTGTCATCTGAGGATGTGAACGGAAGTAGGTGGTATCGCTGATAAGTGCTGTGAAGTTGGTTATGACTCATACCTATTCTGTATAGGGTTTCTGAAGGCTGTAAATCTTTGTGGAAGCAAAAAGCTTTCTTCATAAGAGTGGCGGGTGGGCTCAGACCACTGACGTTATGGTTGGCAGGTGGGAACTCAAAAATGGATTCTTTTTAAAGCAATTCACCTATTCATTTAGTCACACCACAAATATGTATTATGTCTCAGCCTATGCCGAGCCCTGGAGATGAATCAGATGAGGCCCTTCCCTCAAGGAGCTGCTAGTCAGGTCTGTGAGATGAGCAGGCTTTACATTCTTGTCATTCAGGTCTCCACTCAAAGGTCACCTCCTGCAAGAAGCCTTCTTAGATTGCCCTGGGTAAAGAATCAACCCACCACCACCACCGCCACCTCTCAGTCATCAATCCCACTGACCTGTTCATTTTTGTTGTTGTTAGGTGTTGATGAGTCTGTTCCAGCGACTCCATCCATGTACAACAGAACATGAATCATTCTTATAATTGTTGCTATACCTGAGCCCACCATTGCAGCCACTGTGCCAATAATCCATCTTGTTAAGAGGCTTGTACACAGGTTTTTGCTGCCCCGTCTACTGTAGCATAGTGGTTACAAATCAGGCTGCGAAATGCAAGGTCAGCAGTTCGAAACTACCAGCTGTTCCATGGGAGAAAGATGAAGCTTTCTGCTCCCGTAAAGATTTACAGGGAACCTTGTACAGGGAGTCAGAACCGATGGCCCATAACAACAACAACGACTACTACCGGAACTTGTAGATGTACTGATCTCATTTACTTGTGTACTTGATTTGTGTGATCTGTCTTTCCCCAAGCTCCAGTTCATGAGGACTTAATACTATACCTAGAACAATTAATGAGCAACGCATAGCGAGCCACACTGTGATGGGAGGAGGTAGGGGGTATACTAAGGAGAGGCCAAGGATACTTACTGACTGAGGAAGTCAGGAGGCTTCTCAGAGGAAGGGACATTTGCATGAGGTTTTTAAGGATAAATGGGAGTCCACCAAGCAGAAAAAGAAAATGCGTTTCTATCACTTACTGTGTGATCTTGGACAAATCGATTGAATGCTTTCTCTGTCTCAATTTGCTCTCCTAGGAAATGAAAATAATAGTAATAGCTCCTTGATTATTGTTGTTGTTAAGGGCTGTTGAGTCGGTACCCACTCACGGCAATCCTGGATAGGGTTTCCAAGGAGCAACTGGTGGGTTTGAACCACTGACCTTTCAACTGAATCTGACCTTGCAGTCCAGTGCATTACCCTGCAGCGCCACGCCAGGACTCCATTAAAAGACATGCTGTTAGGTGCCATTGAGTATCTTTCCACTGATAGTGACCAATGCCCAATAGAAGGAAACATTGCCCCGTCCTGTGCCATCCTCACAATTGTTACCCTTGAGTCCACTGTTGCTGCCACTGTGCCAATCCACTGTGCCCAAGAGATAATCTGTGTAAAATGTCTACCAAACTTCCCTGCATGAAGCAAACAATAAAGGTAACTATCAAACTGTGCGTAAAAGCAGTTAGCATGTTGTTGTTGTTGTCAGGTGCCATAGAGTCGAAACCGAATCATAGCGACCCCATGCACAGCAGAACGAAACAATGTCCGATCCTGGGCCAACCTCACTACCGCTGCCACACTTGAGTCCATCAATGATGCCACTTGGCCGATTCATCTTGTTAGGGGTCTTCCTCTTTTTCTCTGACCCTCCACCTTAACCAGCGTGACATCCTTCTCCAGTGGCAGTTAGCATGGTACTTAGTAAATAGCGGATATTCAATCACTGGCCTCAAGAAGTTCCCTTTCTGGAAAGGAAGTAAGATAATTAATTCCGTGTTGGATGAGAGACAGCATAGGACGCCATAGAAGATGAATATGTTTATTTATTGAGTGTTTACTATGTGCCCAGCACTGTTGCAAATGCTTCATATGTGATTATCCATGTAATCCCTTCCCCCTCAGCCAACACACACACACACACATACACCAACACACACACACAACTTTGTTTAACAGAATAACTGAAAAAGAGCCAGTGACTTTCTCAAAGCCACACAACCTAATTTGCAGCATTGAGTCTGGACACAAGTAGTTCAGGTCTGAGATCTCTGGGTGTTACACATGGTCGGTGCATGGTTACTAAGCTAAAGGCAGGTGGTTCCAACCCACCCTATGGTGCTGTGAAAGAAAGAGCTGGCAAAGGCTTTCTGTAAAGAGTGCAGCCAAACACACATCACCGATGGGGAGAAGTGGGGTAAAAGCAGCAATGAAGCGGCAAGCTAAGCCCTACAATGCTCAGTGGACTTCTGTGGACCCAGTTGGGGACCTGGTTGGCAAGCAGTGTGAAGAGGCCTGGGGACTCTTGGGCCCAGAGTCAGTGGCGTGGCCACGGAGGACTTGAGAGGAGAGTGGAGATACTGGCTGATGGGAAGAGAGGACATATGCACAGGAGCGCCCACACTTGCAGATGATACCCACGTGACCTGGACCGGATGACTGGATGATCGGAGCTCAACCGGGAGAGGAAAGAAGAGGAAGAAAAAAAAAAAAGAGTGAGCTGATACAATCTGATGAACTTGACCTATACCTATGGAGCAGCAACTCAAAAGAAGGAACAAATCCTTACAGCAAGAAGCATTTACAACCCCCTCCACACACAGAGTGGATGGAGATGGGCAACTTGGACATTGGATACTCAAATGGGGAGGGGGAGACTACAAAGGCAGGAAGTGACTGGCTTACAAGCTTTCAAGAGGGAACCTAATGCTAGGGAGCATGGAGGAAGGCAGAATCTCCAGTAGGTACTACTCAATCTGTCTGGGCAGAGCTGATGAAAGGAAATACAGATGGGTAACTCGTGATACTGTAGTGAATAATGCTTATCAGGACGGATTGTGAGGGTTGGAAATGCAAAGGTAGACATTTTGTAACAAGGAAGGGAGTGATTTAATTCTCCAGGATAGGAGTAGAGGTCTCTGGGACCATCAACGGAGAAGAGCTGAGAGCGGAACCCTACCCAGAGAAACAGAGATGCCTGAGATAGAGACAGAGACGACGACGTGGAGTGATGAAGTGGCTGGGGACTTTGGACCCAGAGAGGGAAAGGGACTTTGGGCCAAAAACTGGGGGGGGGGAGGGAATGGGCTTCTAGTATATACCCTTTGGTTGGTTGATAATGCATGGAGGGGATTGGAACCATGGCAATGAGCTGATATACGATGGAATGAATGTAAGACTAAGGTTCTCCTATGTAAACTATCATATAATTCACAATAAAACATTAAAAAAAAAAAAAAAAAAAAAGAGTGCAGCCAAGAAAACCCTTTGGAGCTCAGTTCTACTCGAGGATTGTGCTCTTTTTCTGTAAAGACGACAGTTCAGAAAACCCTTTGGAGCTCAGTTCTACTCTGTAGTGCATGAGACGGCCATGATCAGACTCAACTTGATGGCAGCAGGTTTGGTACTTTAGTTTGGGCTCAGTTCTAGAATCTTTGCTCCAAACCAATGTAAATCTGTTGTTGTTGTTAAGTGCCATCAAGTCGATTCCGACCCATAGTGACCCTGTAAAGGGTTTCCGAGAAGCAGCTGGTGAGCTTGAACTGCAGACTTCGCAGTTCAAACAGCTTTGCAGTCTGGCATATTAACCCACAGCACCACACCAGGACTCCTAGGGAGCCCCAATTCCACTTGATAATCAGAGCTGTGGCAGAGGAAAGTGGAAGGGGCCATGAATGCCCAGGGCAGGAAAAAAGATGGACTCTGCCTGGAGAAATCAGGGATATCTTCCTGGAGGAGGAGATTTGAGGGTGATTCTTGAAGGGTAAGTAGGGTTTTCCCAGCAAACAAAGGCTATGAAGAAACATTCAATCATTCATTTAACATCTCCTGAGGCCTCCTGTGAGCCCAGCCCAGTACTGAGTGATGCTGGAGACACAGATATGAGTCAGATTAAGGCTGGGATGAGAAGAAAAGATGGAGGTAGGAAGGATGGGGTGATGGGGAGGAAGATATGAGGCAGATGGAGTGGAGAAAATAGGACATCAAACTGATGGGAAAGGTTGAGAAGGGAAAGGTTGTTTGCTTCTAGGTGGGTTGGATACCTAAGTCCTTGGAGGTGGTAGGGGTGCGAGGAATTAACTCAGGTGGGACCAGATTTCTCAAGGTCCTTGTCCTTGAGGACACCTAAACAAAAGTTGTCACATTGGGGTCGATTTGGGCTCATGGGGACCCCAATGTGTTGTGGAGTAGAACTGTGCTCCACAGGATTTTCATACTGTGATCTTTCAGTAGCAGATCTCTCCCCCTTTTTTCGGAGGGGTTTCTGTTGTGGGTTCGAATGGCCAATCTTTCAGTTCATTGCAGACTGTTTAATCATGTGTGTTACCCATGGGCCCAGGGGTGGGGATGCTCTTTGAAATGAAGACATAGTGAAGCTTTCATGCCTGACTCTGTGTCTACTTGGGTCCTCCCATGCCTCCTCTAGCATAGTGGTTACGAATCGGGCTGCACGCCGCAAGGTCAGCAGTTCGAAACTACCAGCGGTTCCTCGGGAGAAAGATGAGGCGGTCTGCTTCCATAAAAATTTACAGCCTCGGTAACCCTGTGTAGGGTTTCCACGGCACACAACAACAACAACAACATGCCTCCTCTATGTCCTCTCTTCTTTCTCTCTCCTTCCCCACCTCATCCCCTATCATGCCTGCCTTCTTCCCTCAAAGTTCTGGCTCTTACTCTTACCCCTATAATAACCTGCATTCTGGATCACCCCATTCCAAGCCTTCCCAGTGACTTGAACACAAGCTTCATTCAAGGTAAACTTGATTCCTCCCTCAGGATCCTCCGCCTCCTTCCTCCTCTGTCTCTTCCTTCTCCAGGCCACAAACTTTCCTGAATTCAGATCCTGCATCCTGAGGTCATAAGGATGAGGTCTCCTCGGTCGCTCTGGGCTCTGGGAACCCCGCAGAAGGACCCCACAAACGTCTCCACACTCTAGCGCTCCCTCCAGTCAAGCTCCACCCCACTTTCAGCAAAGGAGGCCAGCTCATCCTGACAAGGGGTCCCCACTCCGCTTCCTTCTCCCAAGTCTCCGTCTTAGCCTCGGGGCTTTCCCCTCCCCTCCGGTAACATTGCCCAACTCTGATTAATCACGGAGGCGGCCCCAGGGAGAAGGAAGGCGACTGCATGGTTTACTATAAAGAAGTTTCAGGCTCGGAGAG